TAATTTCATGTAAATTCAATTATCAATTACCTAAATTTTCATGTAAAACACCACGGATTAATTGTAAAATAATATGGGGAAAAACTTGCGAGCATGTATGAGGAATAGTTTATATTGACTTACATGTAAATCATTCCTGATTACATGTAAATGAAGATGAGAAAAAATGTGCAAGTATATTTGATGAGTAATTTACATGTAATCCCTAACAGATTACATGTAAATGAAACACATAGAGAGTACCCCCTCGTTATCCTAAAATTACATGAAAACCACAACATTTTACATGTAAATTAGTATGGGAAAAAAATGTGCAAGCATGCCTGATGAGTAATTTACATGTAATTCATAATAGATTACATGTAAATGAAACACAAACAGAGCACCCCTTAGTTGTGTTTTAAAAATACATGAAAACTACTACATTTTACATGTAAATCAATATGAAAAAAAATGTGCAAGCATGATTGATGAGTAATTTACATGTAATCCATTTTGCATGTCTTTGTGGGTGGCCTAGAATTACATGAAAACCACTGTATTTTATATGTAAAGTAGTATGAGAAAAAAATGCGTGAGTATGCCTAATGAGTAATTTACATGTAACCCTTATAAACAGCCCAGAATTACATGTAAATAGATAAGGATTACATGTAAATCAATGATAAAGAAAGGACACCCCTTCAGTGACCTAAAATTACATGAAAATAACTTTTGATTACATGTAAATCAACCAAGTGATCACCCTTACACCCTAAGCTAGAATGCTTGCACCTTAAACTAGAAGGCTTGCACCCTAAGTGAAATAGCTTCTACTCGAAGCCAATAGGCTTGCACCCTAAGCAAGATAGCTTGTATCCTAAGTGAGATGGCTTGCAGCAAGAGTAGAATTATATGAAAATGCCTTAGATTTATATGTAAATCAATGTTGCCATCACATTACACAAAACATTTGCACCTAAAGCCAACATGCTTGTACCCTAAGTCAGAAGGTTTGCACCTAAGCCGTAATGCTTTCACCAACAGCTAAAATACTTGCACCCAAGACAGAAGGCTTGCACCTAAGTTAGAACCCTTGTACCCTAAACTAAAAAGCTTGCACCTAAGCCAGAACCCTTAAACCCTAAGCCAGAAGGCTCGTACAAGGCTTAGGGTGCAAGAGTTAAGTGTTGTGTAATAGAAACATTGATTTACTTGTGATCTTTGGGTATTTTTATGTAATTCTAGATTGGGTACAAGGATTTTGGCTAAGTTGCAAGACTTATGGCTTTTGTGCAAGGCTTATGGCTTAAGATGCAAAGCTTCTAACTTTGGTGTAAGCCTTCTGGCTTAAGATGCAAGGCTTCTGGCTTACGGTGCAAGGCTTTTAGCTTGGGTGCAAGGGTTTTGCCTTTCGTTATACCAATGACATTTACATGTAATCTGTAGTTCTTTTCACGTAATTATTGGTGACAGACAAGGGCTTCCTTTCTGTTTGACAAGTTTACATGTAATCCCTAATGGATTACATGTACATTGTTATCAGTTATGCTTGAGGTTTTTCTTCTATTATTGATTTAGATGTAATCCGCAGTTATTTTCATATAATTATTAGTGATTGACAAGGCCTTCCTTTCTATGTGATAGGTTTACATGTAATCCATTAGAGATTACATGTAAATTGTTACTCAACCATGCTCGTAATTTTCCCCCTTATTGATTTACATGTAATTCGCATTCATTTTCATATAATTCTTGGCGACTAATAAGGGCTTCCTTTCTGTGTGACGAGTTTACATGTAATCAATTAGAAATTACATGTAAATTGTTACTCAACCATGCTCATGATTTTTTTTTCCTTATTGATTTACATGTAATCCGCAATTGTTTTCATGTAATTTTTGGTGACTAACAGAGGCCTCCTTTTTATGTGACAGGTTTACATGTAATCTGTTAGTGATTATATTTTAATTGTTCCTCAACCATGTTTGTGAATTTTTTTTCCTTATTGATTTACATGGAATTAGTTATATTTTTTGCGTAATTACATAGGCATTCACAATGGGTTCTCTCAATGTATTTTATTTTCATGTAATCCATAATATTACATGTAATTGTCGCATTGAAAGGTGAGGATTTAACAATTTTACATGAAAGACAATTAAATTTTTAATTTTACATATTACGATGAAAAACTAACATATGAAAGAAAAAATAATAATTCCATAAGTTTTGGTATGTTATTATGCAAAGTACAAACCAACAAAAAGATGAATAGCTAGTATAGTTGCAAGGATTAGGATTACAATGATATTACAATTCTACAGAAAAGAGTAGGCCACTATTTTTCGTTGTTGCAAAGAATACCTTGCAACTGCACAAAAAGAGTGGGACATGAAATTGATTGACATTGCACAAAAAGCAAACACAACTTAAATTATATATATTTAATGGCAAACATTGGGGCCAAGTTATACATCGTCATGTAAAATACTATTTTTATACATCAACTAGCATTTTCTAATTTATGTTACTCACATCAACTAATGTTCTTTTTGCTCCTAATACAAATATTAAGATATTTAATGCTATCTCTCTAATTCAAGTTTGGACTTTTTCAATGCTGTCTTGGCTGCAAGTTGCTTTACTTTTATCTTTTAATTAAGTGTTCTTGCAATGCCTACTTGCTCTGCTGCAATTTTTAAGCTTTCTTCAGCCTCCATTATATTTGCATTGATCTCACCAAGATGAGTGTCCATCTTTTTGGTCTCAATCTCACAAGAGGTTTGTTGGAATTTTACTCCTTAAAGCATATCCTTGAGTCGAGGGACCTCTTCGCGAAGGGATTGACTACGCTGCTGAGATGCTTCAAACAAAGCCTTGGTCTTGACAAAGTTGTCATAAATGCCAAAAAGTATCAACTTCTCCTCCTCATAATGCTAAATGTGCTCTCCAAGAAAAAAGTCATTTTGAGCAGAATTTTGTACTTCAGCTAAGGAAAATGTAAAATTGATGAACTCCTAAACATGTTCTCAAAATTCTTTATAGTTAACTTGTAAAGTTTTCAATGTATCAAAAGTATCATCAGCAAATTTCTCATAGACTTGCAATCAACAGGATTCATAGACTCAAGTTCAAGTAGAAGATCTTTCAAGGCATTTAATAAAATATGTTTTTGCCTCTATGGTTAGGACCTTGGCTTTCTTTCACTAGTAAGTGATACATTAGTGCTAACAACATTTTTATAATCCTGAAGAAGGCAACTAGTTGAAAGTGTCGCATGTTTACCAAGTTTGCTAATTACAAGCTAATTACATTTATCAAAAAGACCAACATGATTAATTTCTTATGTAGGAGTGATGATAGCATTAAAAGATGGGAAAACACTTGCAAACAAGAGATAATGGAGCTATGCTAAATAAATCCAAATGAAAGAGGGCATGAACTCATTATAAAAATCGAGCACATCATACTTGTAATAGAAAAAAGGCTTAGGTTGAGGGATTTTAAGTTTAGAGTTGGATGGAAGAATTTAAGCATACCTAACCAACCTATTGGACAAGAATCTACAATAAGATTTGTAGAAAATAAAGGACAATGTGAACAGAAACTCCAGGATATCTCTTCAAAATCGAAAGGACCCAACAAAAGACTTCAAACAAAAAAAAACAGCCACCAAAATATGCATCAACATTGGTAGATATTTGCATTTGAAACTTTTTTCTTTGAGCATAGTAATCAAAAACTGTTGATAGAATAATTATTGATCATGCTTTCTCCCCAACAGCCTTCCAAAATTCATGAAGTGTACTCTAACTTCCTGGTTGAAGAGAAGAAATGTTTGGTTTAACCAACAAGGCATCCTTTCAAGTGTGATAATTGCAGGCTACATGGTCCTGTTTTAAAACATATTCTTTTAATCATATTAAAAATGAATGATCATAAAGTTATTGTGTATCAAATCTCCAAAAGGAAGAATTCATTCAATAAATAATTATGAAGTAATGGAAATCATTCACATAACATACCCCTTTGATTGGGCAAGCAAAGAAATAGTGACGCTTGTTTTCACTAATGGTTTGTTTCACTTAGGTCACCATTTGCTCCACTGTCAACCAATTGCAAGGCACTCTAAAGGAGCTTGAAACTCGTTGCTAAATAGTCGTTGATCACAAGTTGTTAGATTAAGGCACCGTGTGAAGAGATGGGATTGTCTTTCTCGAAACTTGTCGCTCACAACTCACTCACAACACCATCATTAATAGTCGATTGGAAATGTCCCTCACCATCTTCTCTCATTCAAATTGTGCAAACAAAGGAAGAAGAGGGGGTGGTGTTTGTTATCAAATTTTTTTATTTCAAGCAGGGCATTTCGGTCAAACCATGAAATTGTAAAATGAATAAAATAATAACTTTAATCATTAACAACATTTGATCCTTAGGACCAATTTTCTTTTCAACTTGATTCTTTTTACCAATTTTTTCGATAAACTTCTCAATTAGCCCATGCATTTAAAATTGGAGGGAATATTAAAGATATTGTAGGATTCTTATTTTAAAAAGCGTTTAAATATTGATTAACAATATAGAGAACTTGGACAAATAAAAGAAAATAAATGCCGATTACCGTTATAGTATTATTATTATTATAGCATTAAGTTGGGAACTTAATTTAACGTTAAATTTTTTTTCCAATTTAAAAATTTATCAGGGTGTGATTAATTGCTCACCACTGATTTTTTTTTTCTATGTGCTGGCAGCAAAACAGCAATTTTTTGACCAATATAAAATATAAAAACATGTTTAAGATTAAATTAAAATTTCAATTACTAACCACATTGATTTTAGTGCTGGGGATTTTTGGTCGCTTAAAAGCAAGATCTCATGTTCAAATTTCTCACTAGATATTAGACAATTATTATATACGGAAAGAAAGTAAACTAAACAAAGCATTTTTTAAAAGAAATCCGAACGTAAAATAAAGAAGCTGAAGATGACAAATGACAATCTGAAGGGCGAAGGCAAAAGGGTAAACGACACTGTTTTACAAAACGACGCGCGTCACGAACCTCCTAGTAGAAGGAAGAGAGAGAATGGGGCTATAAGCCGGTGAAGGCCTCGGGGGAACAGAATCTTTCGAAGGAGCAATGGGTACGTTGCCGATATCTTTTGTACTGGAAACATCTATAATTTGTGAGTTGATCGGTGAATGCCACTGAATCGACAACGTAGAAAAATCAAACTTCGGATTATTTATTCTTCAACATTTTCCCCTTTCTTCCACTGGAAAATTTTATTGCAGAGGGAATAGAGGAGGTGTCGAGGACACGGAAGATGGAGGAGATGATGGAAGGAATAGCATCAATAGCATTGTTGCCAGAAGGGTCTATCTCAGGACACTTCATCCAGCTTCCCCATTCTGTCTGCTATGGTCTTCATGGCTCTGGTAATTTTTATACAATTTGCCATTTTTATAAGACGTATAAGCAGACTTGCAACAAATCGTGCAGGATAGCTAGGTTTGAAAATGCGTTTTTTGGCCATAACCTGTTGGGGAGTACTGTTCACTGTGAAAGTTTCTCTCCCATCATATTAATGGGGTCAATGACTGCTTCCTAGTTAAAATTCAACATTCTTCTGAATAGGATTCACTCATATATCATCTTACATCACCAATTTCAATAAATGAGAGTCTTATTTTTCCAGAGTACTCTAGTGGTTTGTTTTTGAGATTGTCTCATATATGATGAGTTCAAAGTTTCAGTTTCAGAGCTTTAGCAATTGCCATTTAATTTTATAAATACTTATGATTCCAGAAGAAACTCACTATTCCATCGCTAACATCTTCCTATAATTTGGTTTAACTATATAGGCAATCACAAATTTTAGTTGCCTTCCCGCAAGGGACTATTGCTGTCGCTTGCAGCTTGCAAGGATCGGCTCTAACCATCATTGCATCTGTTCATATCTAATTGATTTATCTTTGTGTTGATTACTAGCTCATAGTTCCTGTTTTTGCCGATTCTTATATGGCGATCTTCTTTTGTTGTTTGAAAGCTTTTTATATTCTTGTAATATTACTTATGATTTGCCTTTTCAAATTCTTCTTTCATGGTGAAAGAGTTGGCATGTGAAAGGGAGTGCAGTAGGGGTGAGGACTATCGCCTTATCAAACTGACAATAACAGATTTCAGCGTAGGAACTGAATGATTTTTAGGTTAATTATCTTTTGCTTCCATTCTTTTTACTTATTCTTCATAGCCTCATTTGATTTTGTATTTTGCTGTAAAAGAGGAGGAAAGAACGAGCTGTTGTTGTAGAATGCAGAGGCCACGATGCTGCTCGGTTCAATAACGTTGACCATGCTCATGGGTAAGGCTAGTGACTTAGAAATGATATTTTCGGAATCTTGATCATGGTATTTACAGGGCTAAACACAATTTAAAAAAAGAAGACAAATTGCATGTATTGTCTTAAACATTTGAATTTAAAATTTTAATTATTTTTTGACCAATGGTTGAAGGTTAAAACCACCTAATGAGGGGAGTAACCAAGTAGTTCAAATGTTTACTTGTGTATTGTGCACTCTGCATTATTTTTGTTTTCGATGGGAGACTTGAAGTTCCACTCTCCAGAGAGAGTGGGGTCCAAACATGCAACCAGTGCTCTTATGAAATTAATTATAGATCAACCTACTGGCTAAAATGTTGGCATTGTCATTAGATCACTAGATTCTCTTGCAGCAATCAATTGGAAATACTCCGACATGAATTGTTTCAATTTAGCATCCTAACAGATAGGGCAACCTAAAGAAAGATATGATAAGAAAAATTCTTGGGCTGACTAATTATTAAACGTTATTCACATTTCATTTATGTTTATCAACGTTCTTTATTAAACTTATGTTGGGTGTGTTGCCTCTAGAAAAGCTCGTATTTTAATCTCTCATTTCATCTCAGGGACATCTCTCCTTTTAAATTGAAGTGCTATTACCATTTATACTTTTCATTTTTGTGATGACCATGGCCCAGATGATAGTTTACATTTGTTATTCACATTTAATTGCAACAGTTGGGAGGAGGATGTCATGGGTATGGTCGAACAAAAGGATGCGAAGAGTAAAATGTTGGTCTCATTTGAGTGTCAGACACTGAAAGCTGAAAAAGAAGCAGAAGACCACATCAGGCGGTTCATGCCAAAATTAACTGGGCTGAATGCTGTTGGTATGTGGGACAACTTAGCCCCAAAAAAAATTCATGATTACATTAAATTTGATCATGTGATGCATCTAATCCCAGGCTAAGTTTTCTTTTTTGTCTTCATACAAGAAGTCAGTTGTGTTTGAAACTTAATGTGGGTTTAGATGCAAGTATGCTTGATTACAAGTTATCTTGTAAAACTTTGCCATGCACACAAAGTCACAAACACTTCCTGATTTTTCCCTTGTTGAAATGACCATGCTATGACTGAATCTTTATGTATTTGCGGACAGTTAATCTTCTATTTCCTACCGAGAACTTGTATCCTGGAAAACTTTATTCACTGGTGACTGCTTTGCGCTTAACTTCTATTTTACTTTAGGTACATATGATTGCATTATCAAAAGCAAGATATAATAAAAAGACTAAGTTGTTGACCTTGACGTAAGATAATTATGTATTTCATTATCTGCATTTTGGACCTGTTCCGGAAGTGACTGATGTTGCAGTGTTCGATTACATGATCACATTGTTTCCTAGCGTTAATTTTCTAACTCTTATTGATGCTTCTTACGTCGCAGTTAACATTGGACGGATGACGATATCTGGATTTGACTCTGGAGCAGAGGATTCAGAAACTGAGTAGGGCACCTGCGCTTTTTTTTTTCCCTTCCTTTTTTGGTTTTAAGAGGTTAATGGTAAAGATTTTAAAGCGGACACATTTTGGTGTTGCACAACGATAGTAGTTTTTAATAGCCTTTTTTTTTTAAACAAAAAAAACAACATTAACTAAGAAAGCAAATGAGTTAAACTGTGCACCATGCTTAAAAAAATCAATGTATTAAAAACTGAACCGCCTTTTAAATCAGTTAAGTTTAGGGGGTCAAAGATTCAAATCAGGGTCAAATTGAGAGTCAAATTAGAATTAAACTGGTCATAATAAAATAAAATAATTTAAATAAAAGAACATTAATCTTTAAAATATTCTTTCATATTTAAGATTTAATAGCCACCAATGTTTTGGAACTATTGCATTATGCAATATATATATATATATATATGTATGTATATATATATATATATGATATGAATTTTTTTTAACTCTAATCAAGGCACACTGTTCAAGTAAATAAAACTAGAGTAGCAAAAAAAAAAAAAAAAACAGTTAAAGCTGAAAGGATAGCCATGTTACGCACAACCCGTCAATCACTCGCTTTCTTATTTTCTTTATCTTTATCATTCACTCTTCACTTCAGTATTCCCTCCCTTGCTCTTTGCTTTTTTTTGTTTTTTTTAATGAAAAAGAAAAGCTTGAATTTGTCAAAACAGGAACGTAATCAGTTTTTGGGTATTTGTGGATCTTTCTTTCTTCATCTCGTTCTCTCTTCTTTCATACGCTATTTCCCCTCTTCCATCTTCCACTCTCCATGGTCACACCTCTACATCTCGGATGCACTCACTCTGGGTTTGGGGTTGATGGCCGAAAACATTGAGAAAAGAAGGGAACCAAATAGCAGAGATGAGCAACATGGCCACTGAAGGGGAGGGAGACTAGTCGACGGAGTAGTGAAGGTGGTTTTGTTGATCTGACCTTCTAAAGCAAAATGCAGTTCAAGCTTCTTTTTTTATTTTCAATTTTTAATTTTTCTTGGGTAAAAAAATCAACCTGCGGTGTGATCTGGGTCACCTGAGTTAATCCCAAGTCAATTGATGCCACCTTCAACCGTAAAATCGGACTGGACAAAAGGACAGGTTGCTTGTCTAGCTTTGAAAACAACGCAAAAAAATCGTGCATCATGAAAGGGATGGACAAGTGTTGGTATTTTATTATTTTAAAGTAATCTTACAAGTTTTAAATTCATCCCAAAAATATTATGAGTTCAAAATAACTTGAAAGATTATTTTAAAAAGTTTCAAATTTAAAATTATAAATAATGTATTTTTTTTCCTTTTTAGATCAAAGCTTATTTTAACTAAGCAACCAATTTTCTCTGAAGTAGAGCTAATAATGTGAGTTAATCAACATCAGATTGAAGGTTTAATAGGGTAGGTTGGCATGGCTTGCATTTTATGTGGATTGAATTCTGCTAACCCGCACAACCAGCAGCAAGTTGGTGGGTTAGCAGGCCAATCGGCAAGTATTTTTTTATAATTTTGTAAATTTTAAAAATTATAAATTTATCTTTTTTATTATTTTTTCATGATAAAAAAATCATATATTTCTCTTAAAAATTAATTATTCAAATAACAATAAAATTCTTTCTAATTAAGGCATGTTTATATTACCACTTAAATATAAAAAAATTAATTTTGTTATCCTTTCATTTTCTAGTCTTTTATATAACTGATTAGTATTATATATATATGAATTAATAAAAATGTTTTGTTTATTCCATTTTCTCTTCATCCTGTTTTGACATTTTTGCTATAAAATTGATGCCCCAATTTAAAATACCAATTTTTTTTAAAAAATAATGATAATTTAAAATCTGACTATTAGATTACTGTTCATAATACATTTAGTTTATACCACTTAAACATTCTAATATCTTTGTACCTATTTTTTTTCCTTTATGTTCAAATCAAGACTATAATATAATACTCTCACTGGTCCCATTTATAGGGTAGAGAGAAAAAAATTTTAATTCTATTTATAAGTTACGTTGTTAAATTTTCATCACAAATTTTTTTTACCCTCCATTAAATGTTAGAGAGAGAAAATATGTTATTAAAGTATATATATTTAATATGGGTAAAGTTGAGAACTTATTAAATTTTAAGACAAAATTAATGAGTTTTAATGTTTTTCTTAATACTAGTAAAATACATTAGAAGTGACTTATAAATATGATCAAAAGAATATATGGTTAACACTTTATAAATATGTTTAATTTTTTAAATAAAAGGGATAGCTAAACTTTTTTTATTTGCTAATTTGGATAACATTATTTTACAAACAAGATAATTTAAGTAAGTTATTATATGAATGAAACAGAGTATAATAAAATATTTTATTCAATCTTATCTTGCTTATATTTAAATTATATTATATCACAAATTAAATATATGAGCCTTGTGTTTTTATTGTTTTCTATCATAATTTAAACTTGAATTAAATAAATGTTAAAGTATCAAGTGCTTATGCTACATTTCCATGCACTCATAGTCCGAATGCTTTATTTTAAATTTCAATCTCATTTTTATTTATTTTTTATCTATTTTTTTAAAAAATATAAGTGAACTAACCCCCCAACCCATGAGTTAGCTTGCTGCGGGTTTAAATTATACAGGGCAAGCCAAAACCGTCTTGCATATAATTGAACTTATTTTTTTAACCCAACTTACCAACCCAATTATGCAGGATAGGTTTGCGGGTTGAGCCAACAGACCCAACTCATATTAGCAGCTCTACTCTGAAGGGAGCACCATTTCCGCCGCTTCACTCACCCGTTGTAGAATCACCAATTCTTGGACTTTACACCTCACGCAGGATTTGGGATGGATTTAGTTAATAAAAAGGAAAATACTCTTCAAACAAAACAAAATCTTCCTCCAAAACAAAAAAATAAAATGAATGAATAAAATCAAAGTCTCCTATGTACAGCAGAATAGGATGGATAGGGAATCAAATCTCTAGGAGACAATGAGAAATGCTCTGACTGATATTGAATGGGATATTCAACAACCGATCTGGCACCAAGTCCAGATATCAACACATTGATATACAAGGCATCTGTCAGTTCACTTTGACCCCCTCACATGTAATAGTTTTCTGTTTGGCCATTCAAGTGATTAACCTTGCGTGTAATATCTATCAATAAAGAAAAATGCAGTAACATTTTCTATCCTTAAAGAGCCAGCACCGATCAGAACAGCAGCATCAAGCTGAATTGATCATCATACGAGTATGTTTCAGCTGCCGCGAAACAGAGAAATGCCAAGGAGCATACCAGCAGAGTGTTTATTCAAACGTCATCCAGAAACTGGTTGCAGTCTGCCCAAGAGAGAGAAAGTCATATTTGTTAAAACCCCAGAACAAAGTAATAAGCCATAAACCTCAGCCTTAACTAAATGGAGCCTCCCCTTGGAATATAGAATTAGCTTTGGTCAAATATCAAACAATCATCATAATGAATAGCAAATCCTTGATCAGGATACAACGTGGTGCATTCCCTTGTCACTGATCATTCCATAGATTTTCAGATGAAAATAAAGCATGAAAAAGGACAGAAGGTCGTGGTTTTCCAGATGTGGGCACGTACCTGAGAATCATTTAGGTATCAAACTCAGATGTCTCTTCTGAATCAGACAATGGTAACAGGGTACAGATCCCCAACATGTGACCATTGAGACACACATAGTACTCAACACAATCTTCATAGGAACCCAACCTGCAGCTGGCACTTTGTGGAATCATTTTGGCCTGCAGCATGCTCCACAACTTTGCTTTACAGTAAGGGCAAACTTCTGTAGGATGGAGCTTGGCACCTCTGCTAATAAGCATCTTCCTGACTTTTGACGTAGAGAATGACTTGAAAACTCCACGGAAGAATCCTATATCCCCTTCTTCTCCTTGTTGAGGATGCTCGCAAGGATCAGACACGTATAAAACATCAGTTCTACACGATGGCAAAACAAAACTCTTCCCTGATGTTCTAGAAAACCGAGTTTTATGCACAAAATGACCAGGGATCTGAATGTTATTAAACAGGCCACCTTTCTTGCATCCTGAACAGTAAATAAGCAGCTTCCCTAAAGCCCTCCAGTTTCCGTCAACACTGTGGCTCCCACTAGATTGCAGATCAATCATCATTTTTGGAGCTCTTGTTCGGCAAAACTCCTTCCACAGTACCCTCTTGGCAAAATCATCAAACCATTTACAAACACATGAAAGAGTAGCAATTAGCTTTGGATTCCAATTTAAATAGTGAAATACTAAGAATATCACATCTTCACTTAAGTGGCCCTTAGTGCATTGACAGCTAGCTGAGTGTACGCATCGGTACTGCTTTGTTACAATCATTTTCTCCACCTGATAAAATTTGAAAAAAAAAAAAACCAAATTATCACAATTGTTTGGCATATTTAAGCGTATCACTACATTCAACATGTGTCTAATAATTATGTCAGGTACAACATCACTACACCGTGTGACTGTGAAGTAAACATAAAAAAACAACCAAAACCGATAGATTATGTCATGGACGTATAAACTTTATAATGATTTGTAAATTTTTACAACTTAAATTTTGTAGTCTCTATTAAACTAGAGAGGCACCAGTACTCAGAAGTTGGTTTACTACAAAAATATGAGATTTTCTTCTATTCGATAAAATTGGCACAGGAAGTTTTCCCTGAACTGTTACTTCAGTAGTCTATAATTCAAAAGTTACCATCTCCATCTTCGAATTGATAGAGCACACAGGCCTTCAAGTTATCTGTCTCTTCAGCTCCTAAGTGGCAAGGAACCAACATTGATGAATCATTTTACACACAAATTGAGGCATGACATGTTATTGGTAATGAATACTGATGATTCCGCATATACTTTTTTTCTCTCTCTTTTTTGTCAAGTCGAAACTTAGAAAGACACTCAAATACTCAAATGCTGGCACAATCCAAAGAGGATAGCAAAAGAACAGGATCTAATATAATTAAGCTAGAAAGTGATGTTCAATTGATTGTTTTACACCTTGCACTCAGTTAAGCCTGTTAAATAGTACTTCAATACCAGAGCATTGATATCAAGAAATTTTTTTAAAGCAAAAAATCTTATACATGCATCTACAAGTTCGAATTTTTTTTTTTTTTTTTAATATGAACATGAAATACTCATTCAACAGAATGTGAAAACAATACAGGAGCCAAAACAAACAAAAAGAAGAAACAAACCAACCACCCTTAATCAGCTAATGGGTAGGGTATCAAAATACAAGTTCGAATTTCGAACACCCCAAAAGCGCCAAATCATTTATAATGTGGTCAGCTCGGTGTCACACTAGCATGAAATTACCAAAACAAAATAGTTAGACGCATCAAAAAGATAATAATAATATACCATTCAGAGGTATTGGTGATTTGCAGCAACACCAAGTTTCAACGTTGCACAGTTTCCTAATGCATGCCAGCCGCTCCCAAAGCTTCAGCTAGACGATCTTCTAAGTCACTGCCATCATCAGATGAACATAGTAAGCTAACATACTCCCTTTATAGAGAGACAAACTCAAATTGAGACATTACAAAACTTCACTGAATCGGCACTCAGAGAGAAATTTAAACAAACCCTCGACTCAGACCGAGAAACCAACCAAACGCCTAACAAATAACCTGGAAGTGGAATATATCGCAGAGACCAGAAATCAGAAAATTCGATTTCCTTTAGCTAACGAATCCCAGTTTCCACAGAGTCAGAAAAACGCTATAGAAAGCCCCATTCTGCATCCAACAGAGAAGCACAAATAAGGACTCAAAAAAAGGAAATCGAAAAGAAAACCAAAATTTAAAACAATACGAAGAAACAGCAACTGCTTGCAAGCTATCATCCTTAAATTCACCTCTGGATAGGATCAATTCGGCCAAGTAGAACATTGAAAACATTCAAAATCAGCACTTGCAACAAATGCAGATAGGGAGAGGAGGACAATAGGGAGTAATAAATTTGAAGGCAAACATAGAGCTGACAGTAGGTCAAACTGCAAATATCACTGTCAAACAATATCACGACACACGTCGAACGGGTCTAGCTGGCATTGCATTGAAGGTGTAGCAGATGCGCTGTCTCTGACGTGGAATATTTAATGAAAGGTCATTTTCGTAAAATGACGCAAACGACGAGCCTTAGCTGTCGCCAAACACCAATCGATTTTACCATTCCTATAAAACTAAAAAAAATCTCCCTGTCGCGTCGGAATCTCAAAAGTTGCTGCCAATGATTCCTTCCGTAGCTTGGTATCCAAGATATTACTGCACATCATAAAAAGAGATTTTGAAAAAACAAAATTAAAACTTTTATGAACGAAAATAATTGTAATGTTTTATGTTAATTACTCTGATACGTAATAAAGTGTATATGTATATGTACTATATATTTATTAAATAATGTGAATTGAAATTGTCATGCTGCATATTTGAAACCAAACTTAGTAAACTAAATATAATTAAAACGAGAAATATAGCTTGTGATTTTAAATATAACCGGCAACTACATATTTTTCTGCACTTAGATAAAACTTCATTTGTAATATGTCAAATAAAAAATAATATTTAGATGGCATTAAATATAAATTAATGCTAATATTAATAATAATAGAGATAAAAAATAATAAATTAAATATGTATTCTGTTATAAAAATAAAATCAATTTAAAATATGTTACACAAAATTTTATTTAGATTATTTAAAATATTTTAATTAAATAGATCAGAAAGAACATGATGAATCCGATTTATCTAAGTATTTTTCTATAGAATAGAATAGATAATACTTTTTCTTTCGTTTTTATGAAATTATACTTAACTCTTAAAGCTGCTCTGCTCAAAAACTTCTATCCAACTGGAACTTATATTTTATGCTAATAATAATAATATTATCAATTATAATTAAAATTATAGTAATTACATTTATCAAAAAAATATGATAATTAAATGAAGATAAAAAATTAAACTGATTTAAAATGCACAAAAAATAAAAATATATATTAACTTAGAACTTCATAAGTTCAAATAAAAATATATTAACTTCACACTTCATAAGTTCAAATTAAGTGAATTCTCCAATGTTGCTTCCATTCGTATAGGTATTTAATACCCCACCAAAAACCTAGTTCCTCTAGGGAACCAAATCCCCTCAACGACCAAACCCTCAGCATCCCTTAGCGTCCAGATCTCATCCATTCAAATGGTCAAAATTTGATCAATATGTACATCACATTGCTATTAAAAATATATATAAATAATTTATTTTTAAATAGTAAAAAAATATTTTAAAATATCATGTATGGTAAAAATAAGTTAGGCTTAAGCTAGATTTTAAGTAAACAGGCTTAGTCTATTGATATAAATAAGTCTAATTATAAATTTAAGTATGGTATTTTTGTTACATTAATCAGACCAAAATTTAAACAGGACAGGCTATATGTTTCTACAAGCAAGGTCAAGCCTATTTAATAAAAAAGTTGATTATATTAAAATAAGCAAAGAGACTTGTAGAGACATACAGTCTGTCTTATTTAAATTTTGATGTGATCTGTTTAACAAAAAAATCAATTTTAAATTTATAATTAGGCTCATTTCTATGAATAGGCTAAGCCTGTTATTCAAAATTTGGTTTAAGCCTAACTTATTTTTACCCATACATAATTGGTGTAATATGGGATAAAATATAATTAGTTTTAATTTAGAATGTTGAGATTATCCAATAGGATATTTAAATAAGGATATTGATCTATTAGATTAGCTTTGATTATTTATTTATTATGATCTTAGATATTAGTATCTTTAATATTTGATTTAGATTTAGGATTTGAGATTTAAATTTAAATTACTATTATTTTATTATTTTTAGTTCTCTATAAATAAGTTTATTTGTAATCAGTTTTAAGTGTTGTTGAATAAAAATTTTTGAGAGTTTCAACCTTTCCCTTCCTCCTTTCTCTTTATCTCTCTTCCCTCTCTCCCTTCTTGTTTTACATCAATTTGATATCAAAGCTAGGCTTCCATCACACTTTTGTTGCCAATTTCACTTAGAAAGTACAACTTTTTCATTAAAATTTGAAAGTCCAAATAAGGTATAATGAACTCACTATTCAACGCTATTGATTGAAGTGCGTTCATCACCTTCCACAAGCTTGCTCACACATTAGATCTTTAAGGTTTACAATTTCTTTATACATTTGCAGCATTTTGAGTAATTTTTCATATTTTATTGATTTGAATTTTTGTATTCTCAAAAAAAGAGAAAAGAAAAAAGAAAGAAGAAAAAAATTGTTATGATACTTAATTGCTAATATAAGCTACAGCATATACACACATTTAGATTATCAGTATGAATATGCTAATCTACCACAATATGCTTAATGGCGAAAGGATTATACTCAACGGTAGACATATAATGAATATCAACAATGGTATGCCTATCCTTTACAAGATACTTATTGGCAAAAGAGCTATTGGTATGGTTATGAAAAGCAACAATATAAGTACACAAGCCATCAACAGTATAAGCATACTTATTGTGACAATTATGATCGTCGTTATCTCCAGTTGAAGTATGCTAATCATAAGCAATATGAGCATGAAGGCTAATGCCAACATGAGTATGTTGAGCAATGACAATATGAGCATCTTAATAGCCATTAACATGATTATGTTTATCAATATGAGGATGGTACCCATTGCCATGCTAACTTTCAGGAGGACATAGACCAAATTATAGTTAAATTAGATCGCTTTTAGCAAGAACAAAGTTGTTATTTTGAGAAGCTTAGGAAGGATTGTGGTGAAGTTAAGAAAAAAACATATGAGATTAAGAGGATGATCAACAAATTGAGGAAACAAATGGAAGAACAAGCATCAAGCGAACCAACAATGGCAAAAACTCCTTCCTTACTAGTTGAAGATTCTCCAAACAATTATCAAGTTATTCATTATACACAAGTACAAGTGGCTCCTTCTTAAATTGTTTCTAATAAGGAGTAATCTCATCATGCTATAACTATTCCTTGTCTACAAGCTACATCTTCCTAGGTCACTTCATTGCTTAATGGTCAAATCCAGCAATACTCTGTCTATTAGAAAAGTTTTTTAGAGATTCTGTATGGTCGAACTACTCACTCTTGCCAAAGTTTGTTTTTTTTTTTTTTTGCTACCTAACTTATTGGAATGGATTCTTAGATACTCACCTACATCAAGTTGCTTGCTCATACCAGAGCTTGCTTTTTCAATATCTCACATGTTAGAAAGGGTTTTCAGATTCGAGCATTCCACTAAAATTTATCCTACCCTTCCTTCTTGGATTTGTGCCTTAATTTTAACTCATCAGGGACCAGTTCTTCAAGTAAAGGAGAAATGGTGTAATATGAGATAAAATATAATAGTTTAATTTAGATATTGGAATTATCCAATAAAAATATTTAAATAAGGATATTAATCTATTAGATTAACTTTAATTATATATCTATTATGATCTTAGATATCAGTATCTTTAATATTTAATTTAAATTTAGGATATGATATTTAAATTTAAATTATTATTATTTTATTATTTTTAGATCTCTATAATAGAGTTTAATTTTTATTTGTATTCAATTTTAAGTATTATTGAATAAGTGTTTTTAAAAATTTCGGCCTTCCCCATCCTCGTTTTACTCTCCTCCTTTCTCTTTATCTTTCTTTCCTCTCTTCTTCTTGTTTTACATCAATAATATTTCAAAATATCTTTTTTTACTATTTAAAAATAAATTATTTATACATATTTTTAATAGTCATTAGATTTTGATTATTTGGAGGGATGAGATTTCAGATTTGGATGTCGAGGGATGCTGAGGATTGGCCGCTGGGAGGATCCGGATCCGGATCCGTTCCTCTGGTCTGCAGGTAAAAACCCAGACAGAGAGCGCATCAAGCAAAGACTGTTGGAGAGAGAAACACATCTTCCCTGTAGTTTGGCGCCAAATTATGTTGATGCATGATTACATACTCTCCGTGACAGCATCTAATTTTTGTCAAATCACACCTATTATTAACTACGCATCTATATCCTCCATTTCTCCAGGAATGTATCTGATGCAGATTAAGACGAACTGCAAATGAGTCAACTTTATATTCACAGCTTCTGTACAAAACCAAAGGCAAATCTCATTGGCAAAAGCCGTTAACTGTGCTGTGCCATCACAAAGCTTAGGTTTATTTTTCTCACTTCTTTACATGACAAGTTAGAAACTGTTTATCACAATCAACCGATAGTCTTTACAACAGGCTTTCTCTCTTGGAGAGAGATTATAGTTTCAAAGGCACCAACCAATGCCTTAACCTTGCTCTTCCGAATTTCAGCCAGCTTATTCGCAGTCTCTTCAATTACATTATTGAACAATTCGTGCGCATCTCGCTTGCCTCGTGAACCTTGACGTCTCAAAACAACCTTCTCTGGACCAGTTTGAGTGCCCATTCTATCAATACCATTCTCATATCTTCTTTTAAAACTTCTCCTTAGGCTTTCAGACTTGACCATTGCATTCTCACCCAATCCTGTTGCTCTCCGAAATTTAAGCCTCCTTGGAGAGGTTATCTCAGATTGAAGTTCAACCAATTTTCCCCTTCTGAAATTTATTGCTGATATTTGGCTAACCTTGTCCTCAGAAGATACAATCCCAACCTTTTGGGGCTTGCCTATATCCTTCGCTTCCAAAGGCTCTCCATTTTTCATGAGTTCACTGTCAAGGTTTACAAAAGAAGTATCCTCTTTGCCTTCACTAGTTGTATATTCAGATTCCTCTTTATCTTCTTGGAATGAGGATGAAAATTTTGGGGGTGATGTTGACTGAGTGGAAAAGTCAACACCGTAAACTGCATCTCGATCTGTCTGCAAACTTTTGTTTCCACCTTCCATCTTGATGACATACAAAGTCTTTTCCTCAACCTCATCATTGCCAGGTTCCTTGTGTTCATATTTTCTGGTCTTCAATTGATTCT